TACATCGCAACAGCTGTAGCTCCTCAATAATAAACATAAACTCTCTAAAATTTTTATTATACATAGAGACTATTTAGACCTACTATCGGCATAAATATCACTGATTTTTCTTTGACCAAAGCAGAATTATTTAAACAAATATCGACCGTTACGGAATTTCTAAAATGGAATTCTTTTTTAGGGTGTACTGGAAGTTTAACGCTTTACTACGAAATTCAACAAGAAAAAAATTAACGTTTGGTGTAAAAATTATTCAGCTTTGAATAAGCTTTCGAAACATTAGGTCATTTCTTCACATGAGTGTTTGCATCGAATAAAAAATAAAAAATAGCGTCCATTACGGAATTTCATCTTTTTTTGGCATTCTAATGGAAAAGGTTTAGGAATATGAAATTTTAAATGGTCATAATAACAACCCATCTTCTTTCTAATCGGTAAGTAGTACCAAGAGAGTTTTATCATTTAACCAATGCGGCCACACTCTTACAAAAGAAATCATAACAGAACGGCTGTCTATCTTTCAGACGAAATTGAAATTTAACAAAGTCTAAAATTATACTTTTTGATAAAATTAATGAATTTATCTCTCTTCCACATATATTAATGATGTTTTCCATCTATAAAGTGTCCCTATATTCTATTTTTCAAAGAAAAACGATCTTATAATACATACGAAAATATTTCTCCTATTTTATCACTTTAAGTCCCTGCTGAAACCCATAAAATCTAACACGTTCACATTTTCCCGTTGAATCCTTATAATTTAACGCCCCTCATAAAATAACTTTTCAGTGCAGCAGCTAGTCGCTCGCCGGCGCTCCGGAGGAGCGCCACTCGTGGCTAGCTGCTGCCACCTGTGATCTTATTCTACCCTGACATAATTCTTTTCACTTAAATCCTATCAAAATTCAGATTGGTTTTTCTTATAAAAACTGTTAGATTTGTAACACGATGACTCTAATGAGGCACTCCGAACCAACACTTCTTATTGTTTATTCTTTATTTCTTCAACCTCATCGTTTAGCCAATACATTAGAGTTTTACTAGGGCTCCTCATTTAGCATACCTTATTTGATTATTCTTGATAAATGTAGGCTTCGCGTAGTTATTTTCTTAAGCAACATTAGAATACGTTTACAGTAGTAGTGGCCAGTCGTTTGCCAACACTTTTCTCACGCTCTGCTCATAGTCTCTTACTGCATTATTTGAATACATTAAAACCGTCATTGGTTATTTTGCATATACTCTACAGCCTGGAACTTCACTTAGAAAATTCTTTTAATGCTACTTCTTTCAACTTAAGCAGAGTGCACAGAAAAAAGCTATGTAACTTAAAAACCACTGTGAGTAAACAGGAATCGCTCAATATCGTGTACCTGAAACTGAGTGTCAGTGGTCTGTAAACATTGTTTTATCACGTTGCGACTTAATGAAACACCCATCTCATTAGTCCACATTCCGACTCACACCTACAACGATACTGTCAAAAGGGTACCGAAAGTAAACAGCCCGCAGACATTCTAGATTTGCAAAAGAATTTTCCGAATTTCGAGTTCCCCTTTTTTTCAAATCATTTTTTCTGAAAAATATTGGTTTTTTCCTTAGACAATAATTCAGAGAGAGAGAAATATCATTTTTTTTCATACATATAACTATTTGAGTTTTTCAGAAACCGATTTCAGATCTATATTCTCCGGCGTCGATTTATTTCCGTCAACCTTTACAAAATATCGTTATTTTCACAAAAAAACCTTTCCTTGACTCTAAAAATTCAATTCAAGATTTCGAAAAAGTGAATGCAGATTCGGATTCTCAGATTCCGATTTACTTTCTTCAACGTTTATAAAAAAATGTTTTTTTCACCTTTGACCTTTGACCCCCAAGAAATTTTGAGGTTGTCGATTCTCGATGTTGGGCTGGATGGAAACCCTTACATATACCCATCAGTCGATAGAGCATCCTCGATAAGCCCAGGATCGGCCCGAACATGACTAAGTGTTGTCCTTACAATACGGGAGAAAAGGCCTTCCCAAATCTGAATGGCTGTGTTTTTGATCTTTCACCCTTGACCCTGACACAAACCCACGGACGTATTTTTTTTCATATGACCCTCCCTTCAGTCGAGGGAATAATTTATCAACTCACTACAGCTGCTCGCGATAAAAATCAATACAGCACACTACCGGCTATGACTTACATACATGAATGAACAATGACTGCTATAGAGACATTGTTCAAATGATTCTTCAAAATATTTCCGTCCATTACAGAATTTTTCGCGAAATTCCTATTGATTTTCTAATTCCTTTAAAAAAACCTTTTTTTTCGAAAATCTAACTTAACTTCTACAAGTGACACAGACATTACTGGTTATTTCAATGAAGATTTCTTTTCATATTTCAAAAGAAAGCTTTTCATCGACTGTCTTCCAATAATCAAAGATTCCCACACGATTCTAATCCCTTCACAACTATGACTAGTACTTCATCCAGAAAGACTTCGCCAATTGTCAATCAAATGGATCCACAGATACGAAAAGGATTGACCTTGAAAACCTATGGCGATCCAATAGTATAGCACTTAAGGACCTATAGGTACACTAATAGAATGCACCTTCAGGACCTATGGGTACCTCCACATTACAAGACTTGAGGACCTATGGGTACCCCCATATAATAGTACTTCAGGACCATTGGGTACCCTCATAGGATAGCACTCGAGTACCTATAGGTACCTCTATATAATAGGACTTGAGGACCTATGGGCAGTCCTATATATTTGCCTGTAGGTCCTTATATGACTATTTACCCTTGTACGTTTCTTTGACCTGACCCAAACCAATGTTTTTCTGACCTTTGACTCTGACACAAATCAACGGACGCATTTTTTTTCATGTGACCCTCCCTTCAGTCGAGGGAATATCTGATAATTTCTTTTGCATTTGCGTATGAACAATGCCTCCCTAAGTATTTGGCTTTTAACTATCGTGAAAGTAATATCTGCCCGTTTATCACTTGCATAAAATCAATCTAAAACAGATTATATTTCAAGACTTCAGTTGAATACATAAGAAAATGAGACAATTGTGCACTTGCATCACAAAGTTTATGGAGACGATCATTAATGCTTCCACGGTTACCTTTCAATAGTTTGTTGCGAGTGCGGTTTAGATATAGATGGAATGAATATACAACCAATACAGTAACACCCGCATACCCCATACGTACACTCGCATCCAACTTTGAAATCATATAAAATGTGATAATTTCATATGATAGAACATATCAATACGTATTTAAAATGGGTTTCTGGATGAATCATAGATGAAGCTAATGGAATCTGAAACGAATGGTAATTTCCATTTTCGCCGATTGCAATATCGACGGCTAATTTTTTTGACCAAAAATTACCAGGTCAAATATGAATCATTCTATATTTAAGAGCTTTTTTCAATTTAATAGGTTTATTCACAAGCTCATTAATTACCATCTCAGTTGGTAACCAAGTGAATTGTTAACCATCTGAGTTAGTAACTGAGTCGGTTAAACGCAGATGCCACCAGAGGGTGTAGGTGTGGATCTATTTCTTCCACGTTCACAAACCCACAACCATCCACACTCACATCCTCTGGTGGCATCTGCTTTTAGCCGACTCAGTTACCAACTGAGATGGTTACCAACTCAGGTGGTAATTAATGGGTTTGTTAATAAACCTATTAAACTGAAAAAAACTCTTAAATATAGAATGATTCATATTTGACTTGGTAATTTTCGGTCAAAAAAATTAGTCGACGATATTGGAATCGGCGAAAATGGAATAATTCAAACGAACTTCATCTATTTGATTTTGTATACAAATTTTGCAACCACGTGTGTGTTTTTGTTCTCGTTCCTGTACATGTAACTGTTGCGAAAGAGAAATATCTACGTCATTTTTTTTTCTTTTGCGCTGTTACTTTTCGTTTAGTCGATGTAGATAAACATTAACATTTTTCTTCTAGTTGCCATCATGTTTAAATAATGCATGCGATACAATGCAACATTAAATTCATTACTTTTTTGGTGCTTGTTTTCTTTTACTATTCCGTCACAAGTGAGTTCTTCAATGGAATTTGTCTCATCTTGTTCAGTGCTAAACTTTTCTTTTTTTGCATATTCATGCAACCAATACTCACTGAAAAGAAATATTCATTTTAGACTACTTGACTGATACGTTCTCTAACAGGAACACCATCTATACAACATAAATATGACTGCATAGTCTTCCTGCTTTTATAATAATTCTCTTTCTCTAGTGTGACAACAAACAAACAAACGTTGTTGTTTGTATTTTTCTTGTTTTGTGGAAAAATTATTTTCTTATTTATTTTCAATGAATAATAGGGTATGAATGTAGATGAATTATTCCATTTTCTCCGATTCCAATATCGCCGACTAACTTTTCTGACCGAAAATTACCAAGTCGAATATGAATCATTCTATATTTAAGAGCTTTCTCCAATTTAATAAGTTTATTTACAAACTAATTAGTTACCAACTGAGTTCGTTACGATCTGAATTGGTAACTGAGTCGGCTAAAAACAGACGCCACCAGAGGGTATGGGTCTATTTCTTGTACGCCCACACCCTCTGGTGGCATCTGTTTTTAACAGGCTCAGTTATCAACTCAGACGGATACTAACTCAGTTGGTAATTAATTAATTTGTTAATAAACCTATTAAATTGAAGAAAGCTCTTAAATATAGAATGATTCATATTTGACTTGGTAATTTTCGGTCAAAAAAGTTAGTCGACGACAATGGAAGTTACCATTTGGATGTGTGTTCATTTGACGTATTTTCACATTCATATCCACGATTTGCATTATTTTTGATTAATATTGATGAAATTTGATTGTTGCTTTAGTTACTTCAAAGATTATTAATTTAAGTCTTCGAGTTCTGTATTAAAGTCATCTTAGAATTCTTGCAAAAAAAACTCACAATTTGTCACATTAAAAAGATGGGCAATGTATCAACATCTTTCGCACCACGTTTAACAACGCATATTCATACGAGTAGTGGTGCCATGTTTCGTCTATTCTATTTCGATTTGGTTGATCATATTTTGTTACTTCGGCAAGTGATCACTCATCCGGAAATGATAGAGAAGGGAGACAAATTAGAATTTTTCATCCAAGACTATTGTCATCGAATGTCTAACAATCAGATGATGAGTAAACGTCAACAATCACAACTTCCATGGCAAATCGATTGGATTTGGCACGTACACCGTCTTCATCCCATAGCATATTACAATGATTGTATTAAACAAATTCCCGGCAGTTATTTTATTGATAAGATAGTTCGAAAGTTAACAGTTGATGAGTATCAGAAACAGAATGGTGTTACCTCACGGAAACCAATCCATAACCAAGCATCTTTCATTCCTTCATTCGATATGATGGAAGCCGTACTGCGTCAAAGCGATTTTCTTGAAAAATTTGTAAAACATAATTTCTACTCATTGAACTTGAAACACATGGATCTGATATCGTTCGAACAAATTGTAGAAAACTATGTATCATTTATGAAATTAGCAAGAAAAAACACAATGATCGTTCCAACATTTGAGATAGATTTGATGTGGCATACGCACATGAGATATCCCTTGAGTTATCTGGAATTTTCTAAAGCTTTATGTGGTTTTTTACTTGATCATGATGATTCAGTAGCCTCATCATTACTAAAGGATGCTTACCAAGACACAGCTGATCGATGGAAACTAACTTATCATTCAGAATATGATGCAGCGGTTAATCAAAATTATTCACGAAATTTTCTTGATATCAGCCGTTGTGCATCGATTTACAAGTCTGAAGAGAGAAAACAAACAAACCGTGGAAAATCCGGCGGATGTGGAGGATACTTGGGCATTGTCGATGGAGGCAGTGATAACGATGGAAGTTCATGTGGAAGTAGTTGTGGAGGAGGAGACTAAGGATTGATCTTGCTATATTCATTGTGTTGTTTCTTTAGGATTTCACTGAAGTTGATCTCTCAATTAACAGTAGATATACCTATGAACTCTAAATCTGAATGTCATCAGTCAATTCAAATTAGAATCGATCCTATTAAGAGCAAAGATGGAGAAACAATCTACTTCCGATTCTAACTAAAATGATTGATATTTGTTAGAAACCTGTGAGCAATTTGATTGGGTGTGGATGTGGGTGTAGGTGTAGGTCTTCAATCCATTGACATTGACATCCACATTCACACCCTCAAGTTATAGAGGGTTATTTACGAACTCTGGAAATTATGACAAGCCAAGCTACACATGAAGCTGTAACATATGATGGTATGCATTAAAAGTAGAAGCTTATCATTAGTAGAAACAGTTTGCAGAAAAGAAAAAGTTCAAAATATAATAAGAACAATCCTGTTTGACTGTAATACACCTGAAGAATCATCAATGATAAGGGTGTGGGTAGAGGAGTGGATAAGCTAATGGATCAATCTCATTGTGATTAGAAACTACACCAACAATCACATCGACACCCACACTCAAAAACCAATGGTACCGATAGATTCCTCGATCGCGAAAACTAGAGGTGTTAGCCGATCATTTGATCGGCGGCGGCGGCGGCGACAACAAAATTTTTCCTATGTTATTTCACAGAGTCTTTCGTAGATCCCTACCGTTAAGACAAACATTAGACATTCTTTTCTCACAGAATTATAACGCTGTTTTCTTCTTAGCACGCTC